ACTTTATTTGATTCTTGTATAAATAAATAAAGTTAATCACAGTTGTGATAGGCCTATCATTTATCATAGTTATCTGTCTATGGTTATACCAGGAGTGTTACATTAAAATGCATTCTATATCATGTTTCAAGTAAAGTTTCACTAGCAGCTCTGCTTCACTTAGGAGTTTTAGGCAATTTTGTGGGAATTTTCCTTTCTTGATCTCAGTGTAATGAATGGGGAGCTTGTGCACCGGTCAGTCTGGCAACTTGTTCCCCAGACTCTGGTATTTTAATCACATCTGGTACGTTTAACAGCCCCTGTCAGACATTTCCGAGCATCGTCGTCTTGTAGGGTTGCTATTTTATCTACTAAACTCGTGGAATAAACTGCCCCCTTTCGATTCCAGCCTGTGCTGTTTTGACTCCTTTTGGGGGGAAATCAAGTGAAGGGGGAAATTCGGGTACATTTCAGGAGAAATTAGCTCAACGCGCTCATTTCGCAACACAACAGAGCTTCATAGAATGATTCAATAACATGGTTATATGTTGACCTTACCGGTCGCCTGTGATGGATTCAGTGAGAAACAAACGCGACAGTTCCTGGACGTCAGTGGAGTCTTTCGCAATACTTAGATGTGGAAAACTCTTCTCTACCACGTTAAAGAAACACTATACTTTTAGTGAAAATAAACCACTAAAGTGAGACTTACGAACATTGACGTTTAGCTGTTGTCTTTTTTTGTTGTTGTTTGCGCGCGCGCGCGTAATGATTGTTGTTATCGTTTTAAACAACACCGCGCTAGCTTCCCGTAATTCATTCCCACTGTGGTAAACATAGTCCGTCACATTAAGTCAGTTTCCCGTTAAAATCCCACCAGGAATGTGTGAATGTACTGGAATTTGGTGGATGGAATGTGCTGGCACGGAATCCCAGTTCAGTTTACCGGATGACTGGAATAAAGAGCGGTCTTATAACGTGATTCAGCATGTCAGGCTACATATGTAAAAAACATATAATTTGGGTACATTTTACCGTTAATATTTGGGTAATGGACCCAACTTTTGTATTAAGTGGACCCATTTTGTATTAAGTGTCATTAACTGCTGTGTACTTACATTTAAATTAATCATTGGATACAATGGACTTATTGTGTACATACATGTTTTTACATTGTAATTTTATATATATATATATATATATAAAACTTTCTGTAATTAATTTCTGTAGTTACTTTTGTAATTACACTGTTGACTCTACCCCTACACCTTTACCCATCCTTAAACCTAACCATACCACCAAACCTGTCCCCAACCATAACTGTATCCTACCTTGAATTTACCAGCCAACTTGTTTTGCAATTCAACGTGTACAGAATAGACAAAGTCAATGTCAAAGTTTATTCATAAAGCACTTTTTTAAAAAACAGCAAGTGCACACAAAAAAAGAATAAAAATATCAATGATACAAACATTCAACAATACAATAAAAGAAAGCAGCTCTCACATAGCATTAAATGGCAAACTATAAAAATGGGTTTTTAGGCTAGATTTAAAAACAGGAAGTGATGGAGCCTGTCTAGGTATATTGTACCTAAAAGAAAATTGTATGTAAGTACATAGTAGTTAAAAACCTAATATAAAGTGGGACTTCAATATTAATTATTGTTAATTAGCAAATAAAATAGTTGAGAATGTTATTACAGCATTTACAAATATTAATAATAAATAAATTTTATTTCAGTTGTCTTATAAACAATGTACTTGTTATAAGTCATATTCGCTTCTTGTAAGGCACAGGTCGTTTCAAAAAACAAAAATCTGTTGTATACCCACACAGCAGTGAATCCGTTGCCCATTGCATCACAGAGGCTATTATCTAACCCTGGTCGGCTTCTGTCAGGGAGGGTTGTGGGCTTTCCCATGATTCACCCTGTGTGTGTGTCACCCTGTCGCTCTGGGGGTCAAGCAGTCAAGAGGGCGCAGAGCGAGGTAGCACGTGGAATGATTCATTAATCTGTGATGATGGGAATTTGTAAAACAACTGCAGTAACAAAGACTAAAAATTAATCATACAATTTTTAACGTACAATGAAAGTCTAGTTTCTTCATAAATATTTACACTTCAATCTCTTAATACTTTTTTTTTTCCCCCACAGAAGTACAGAGTAGACATGCCTGGCTCTAGCAGTGCCTTTATTCCAACAATTAATGCCATAACGACCAGTCAGGACCTGCAGTGGATGGTTCAGCCCACAGTAATCACATCCATGTCTAATCCATATTCCCGGCCTCACCCGTACGGCCTGTCTGTGTCTAGTGGCCCGAGCCTCCTCGGCCACACAGCCCTCACACGGCCCGGGGTAATCCGGTCCATCGGCGACACACGTGGGCGACGCAAGCGAGACGAGCAGGTTAGTGTTAACATTTTTCTTCTTTGAAGCACACACACAAAATCAAACCAACAAAACCAGTTTTAACGTATAGTACAAAAACCCATTTTTAATGTGCTAACATCTGCTGAATTATTGAATAACATTTTTTTAGAGCTGCATGACAGCAGAAGTTTGCAACATTAATACTATTATTTTCTTTCTTTTTTTACTGTGAAGCTGTATTGAAACAATCTTTATTGTATAACTATAATATGAATAAATACGTTACATTGTAAGAATGATTTCTCACAAACAACTGCAAAAGTTTACTTGTGCAAGTGCTCACTCCTCCTGTTGTGTGCAGCTCGCCCCAGAGGAAGAAGAAAAACGGAGAGTTAGACGAGAAAGAAACAAACTAGCTGCAGCAAAATGTCGGAACCGCAGAAGAGAACTGACCGACTTGCTGCAAGGGGTGAGTTTTCTACTGATGTTACAAAAGAAAAAAAAAGAAATCTCTAAAATAACACATATAAATACCTCGAATGAAATGTCCACAACTATCTCAAGACTTATTTTCACACAATTCTCAGTGGTTAAAAGCTGAAAAAAGACCAGTGTTGTCTGGCAGATATGGGAATGCCCCGAGTCCCAGACAATTCTGGCTGTAATTGAACTACTTAGCTTTATAATGGCATCTCTCAGGCTGTCAGACCTGAAACATGAGGTAGGAATGTGCTACAGGGGGTTGGAGGGAAGCAAACGTCTGATATTGTTCGAAGAGGAAACCGCAGCTAACCATCAAACCCCCCACACTGCTATCTTCCCTCTTCCCTTCCCCCCATTTCTCCGCTTCATTCATTACCAAATAAGGAACTGTATCTTTTGTGACAATAACTATGCCCTTTTTTCAAATGCACTGTTTCTTTCTTTGTAAATTAAGCATTTGTTTTGCTTTGAGTTTCCTTCTTCCTCATAGCCATATGAATGAGTCAAAGACAGCTACGGTTTACCTATGACTGTCTAGCCACATTGTTATGTCAGTGTTTTAACCTTCTGGAGGCTTTGACAGTTGTTTTAAAATATGTGGTGCTGTGTCAAGTGTTCTGTTTAACAAAGAAATGTGAACAGCTCAAATTTATGTGGGAAATAATTGCTCGTGTTTATGGATGGGTGTGTTTTTTATAGTGCCAAAGTGCTCCGAGAGTTCAGAGTGGATGAAATTGGCTTTAAAAATCCAATAAAATAAATATGTTTATCGTTGTTATTTATTTATGTATTATGATTACTATTATTATTAAAATAATAGTAATTAGAAGTTATAATTGAATATCACTACTAATTAAAAATATATATAGTTATATTCAATTAAATAGCAGCTTTTTTCGACATTATAATCGCACTAATCCATATAGCTATTTTGGTTTTATTTCGATTAATTGTGCAGCCGTAATATAGGCTTACATTAAAGACCAGAATATCGTAGAAATTTGTGGGGTGAGGTCTTTTGACTAAGACCACCCAGAACACTTAACAACACCCTGACAGCGACCTTGTTAAACTTGTTAAAATGCTTCAATGTTGAATCAACAATTACCAGCATAATTACTACTGTAAATCATTTCACAGTCCAAATGAACATCAGACAAAATGCAGCATGATCATTCATTGCATTTCTTGTTTTCATTCAAGGAGACAGAGAAGTTAGAGGAGGAGAAGGCTGACCTGCAGAAAGAAATCGAGACCCTGCAGAAGGAAAAGGACAAGTTGGAATTCATGTTGATGGCCCACAGCCCCGTGTGCAAACTGCCCCCTGAAGAACGCCATCAGAGCTCGCATTCCCAGCAGTGTACGCCCCTTCCTCTGACCATGCGCTCCAACCTGGGTCCCCGGGGACTGATGAGTACCCTCAACCCAGTGGTGGTTAAACAGGAGCCTTTGGAAGAAGATGACGATGAGGAAGAAGGAAAAATCCAGCGTTCAGTCATCAAGCCCATCTGCCTAGGTGGCGGCATGTATTGTTCTGATGGAGACAGCCTCAACACACCCTTGGTGGCAGCTTCCACCCCGCTGTCCACCCCAAACAACCCAAGCCTCATCTTCACCTACCCCAGCATGCTTGAGCCCGAGAGTCCTTCGCCATCATCGGAGTCCTGCTCCAAAGCCCACCGCCGCAGCAGTAGCAGCGGCGACCAATCCTCAGATTCCCTAAATTCCCCCACCCTGTTGGCACTTTGAAGGAAAATTTGATCCATTCTCGTGGATCTCCAGAGCACCCTCAGCTGGGATTTGAGTGAGGACTTCACCTCAACAAAGCTGAGAACCCTCAAGGGCTAATTTGCTCATTTTATTTAAACGTTTCAGAAGAGAGTTTTTGTTGTCTTGTTTAAACGTATGTGCAAATTCCACTCGCTGTTTCAGCTACAAATAGTGGTGAGTTTCTGGAATGAAGATGAAAAAAGCGGGAGTCGAGATTTCATCTTTAGCAAGACTCAGAGCAACTTGCAGTCGTCGGCTGCCTGTACAGAAGAGCACGATATTTCCTGCTGGCTGCCTGACTAATAAGAGATTGGAATTGCTTGCAAAATCGAATTCTTGATAGGTACAAAATAAGACATTGGACACTACGGTAGATAGCTGCCCTCAAAACATCTTTGTATTTGTGACGTGTGATATGTGTCCCTTTGTATTTTGTGTCCTGCTGTTTATAATATTTCGGGTTCACTGGATGAGCCTCACTGCTGAGTGTCGAAAGAACCGTCTTGTATAATAAAATGCTGACCTTTGTTGCTATTTTGTATATGCGGCACAAGCACTAAGATCATTTGCCAAATTTACGTAGCTTTTGTTATGTAAAGCAAACAAACAAACAAAAACACTTTCTAGCATCAGCGAATCTACTGTCAGGGATTTTTGTCTGTGTCAGTGAGCCATACAAGCATTACTAGAAGCATTTGCACAGAGAACACAATATAACGGTGTACACGAGGGAAACTCTAGCCATATTAGGCTCTGCCTCTAACCCTGACATGGCAATAGCGCTTTTGTATTGGCGCACACTGTGGTTTTCAAATGATAATAATTAAAAAATGATTACTTTTATAATATGTACTTTTATGTCTTGATTGGCCCTTTTTTCCGGGTACAGTTTAAACTGAATCATATATCAGCCATATGAGCACTTCTCCCTGAAACACTGGCTGGCTTTTTTTGCCGCACTTGGGAACAGATGCTCTTTGTCAGCAACCTTACAATCAAATAAAACGCCATTCTTTACAGTGATGGATTAAACAGGGAACGCAAAATGATTTTGAACGTTTGATGCAAAAGGTGAGTGTGGTGTGACACTGACACTGACACTGATCAGACACTGAGGAAAAGATACACATTGCAATATTTCTTGAAAAACATTCCTGGGACAAGAAGACTGAACTTCAGAGAGATCTCAAGGTCACTGTTGCCACAGTCAGATAATAACTGAGGGTGAATGTGAGTATTTTGTTGTACAGGATGCAGCAAACTGAAACAAAACGAAACAAATATGGCTTCTGTTTGAAGGACTTTGTTGCTTTATTTATGTCAGCGACTTTTAAGGATCTAGGAGATAATTTCAGTGTTTGTTAAATGGAGTATGAGAGATTCTAGTTGCGAAAACCAATTTAATACCAAAAAAAACAAAAAAAAAACAGGAAAATGTTTAAGGACTGCGTGCTGTAAACTGTTCTCTGTTGGTCTTTGAAACCTGTGTAATTTGAGCAAGCCATCTGTACAGCTTTCTGCACAAGTCCTGCTTATCGGTGTGCACTCTCTCTCTCTCTCTCTCCCTCCATCTCTCTCTCTCTTTTTATTGCTTTAACTGTTGAAAGACAGAAAACAACCTACAAAAACAGCAATATGTAAGGCAGTGTTGTTCCTTTGGTAATACATTTAAATTTATTATAATGATAATAAAAACATTTCCAAAGTGGTATTTTTGGATAGTCGTATTTTGCTGTGCACAGTGTTTGGCGTATGCTGGATATCTCACTGTTACAATGTGGTGTTTCTGTGTTTCTTTGAGTCAATCACAAGATGGTTGAATGCACCTGCTTTATGCGTCAGTTATTCATTCATCTCTAATTTCCGCACGTAATCAAAGATGCAGATTTATTCATCCTAATTTTGGTCTGTGAACCTAAATCTGTCATTTAACTTTGATCGACAGCTTTGCTTTGTCCAACTGATGACAGTAATGACAATGTAAGACATCAAGAATACTTGCTTTGTAAAATACATAAAATATTTCATAAATGGGGTTATAAATGGTGTAGAGGAAACGAGAAGCAAAATAAGCATGTGCATACTTGCATGCACTGTATGTATAGTTGTAAATACAATACTTCCTGCTCATAGTTCATCAGTGCTTCTTCTGTAGTTCTGGTTATCAAACTGCACTTTATGTAAAAAAAAAAAAAAAAAGTATTTGTAAGGATGCTAATTTGGCCATAAAAAATTTGGGTTTGTGGGGGTTTACTTTCACTTGAAAAAAATTACTCTATATTAATTTCAAATGACAAAACTGATGTTTTGGTTAAAGGTGCATTCATTATCTTGCATTAGTATGAGTTGATAACCCATTGTCTCATTTCACCAGATCAAATTTTGTAATGAGTATGTACTAGGTTGAAAATTATTTGCCAAGTTTGAGATTTGAGTCAATTTGAAAAACATTCATGGCTGTTTTGCGGATGTGTATTGAGCTTTAGGCCAAATTCATGTGTCTGTGTGGAAATCTTTTATTTTGAAATAAATATTTCGATTTTAAATTCTGAAATGTGTATATGCATATTATTTCAGATATATCACAACATTGATGTCTCAAATAACTGTAAGAATGATGCTCTTCCAAATATTTGTCAGCTCCATGACTCATTACTAAAACTACACTCTAAAAAATGCTGGGTTAAATACAACCCAGTGCTGGGTAAAATAGGGACAAACCCAGCAATTGGGCTGTTTTGACCCAGCGGTTGGGTTACATGTTTAACCCAACCTTCTGGGTAGTAACCCAACCGCTGGGTCACTCTAAAAAATGCTGGGTTGTATTTAACCCAGCATTTTTTAGAGTGTACTTGCACACTGAACTGAAATATATATATATAATAGCTTAGATATATAAACAGAATATCAATAGAATAGAAAATTAATACAAATGATGAGATTAGATTTGGTATATCAGTTAAGACATATTTACACAGCAATCATTTATATTAGGGCAGTCAGTCATTTATACAAGACATGATGTGCTTATCGGCAACCATAAACAAATTATACTTGAATACTCCCTTTCCTAGGTACATCCACATTTTTACAAGATGTCACTTTAGATTAGGTTTAATCGTTTATAATGATTTAACAGTAAATATAAAACAAACACACAAAAAAACACCTCTAGACTAATACAAAACTATTGTATTTAGCAGGATTTACTGATGTATTTGATTCTTCCTACATTAGCCATACGTTAAAAAGTGTTACTCCATCATTTCAACAATAGAATATTACAGTGTTTCCTTTACTGGATGTGGACTGATTTGCTATTTTATTATGTATTTGTACAAGTAAAACACATAGTCTAATGCTGTTTTGGGGGAAAATGTAGCTCTCTGTCATGCAATGTTCATTATAAATTGACAACAAAATGGTAGTATTTGAAATGTAAAATAGTCAACAGGCAAAAATGGCACACAACACAATAGAGTTATACTGCCACCTTGTGGTTAAAGAGTGCTACATATGGGTTATAGGACATTATTTGACATTTTCCTCTTTTCAACATTGCTGTTTAAAAGCAACACAGTTAAGTTATTTTTAGTATATACAAGTGAAATTATATTAAATTATAATTAACATGAAAGGTATTATCAATGTAATAAATACAGTTCAAAATATGAAATAGCTTATATTTCTTATAAGAAACAGAATAATAGTCCTCAAGGATTAATGCACAAATTATTATATATATATTTTTTGCAGTCAAATGGATATCTCCAATTAGACCCTAACTGACGCTTGATGTGCAGTCTATGGTTAAAGTTCTAGGCTAGGATTTCAGGTTCTAACTCTTCAGGATCACTGTGTTGGTTAGTTAATGTTGTGTAACCCTATAACGCCTGTATCATATTGTATCTTTATTTATTTACTGTATCAAATTTCTATGTTCTCTAAATTATCAACATGATCAAAACTTTGCTGAAAACCTGTTGCATGCAACATAGGCTACCTTCTGTCATCTGATTGATAGTTTACACTTTTTTAGCAGGTAAAAGGCCTTTTAGTATAATTATAAAAAAACATAATGTTAAATGTGAATATAAAATAATGTTTTATCAGGCTTTTGAGGAACGTTTATTTATATTTCAATCAATTGTAGTTTTGCCCCCACAGTAAAAACTAGCTCTGATTATAAAACAAAGTATTTTATTAAGACATGTGTGTTACATATAGAGTGACAACTGATATTTATGTGCATTTTATGTAAGTAGTCTTCTATACTGTTATAAAGATCTAACTGATTTACATTACAAGCTATCTGAATTACATCATAATTTGTAGCCATATAATATCAGCAACTCTAGGATAATAGGAAAGCTATAGGACAAAAAAAGAAGGACAGAGGCCCAAACTGACCAAAAAATATGCAATATAATTGTGCTTTACTAACTGAATAAATCTCAGCGCACTCGAAAATAGCGATTTATCCATTTCAGCTGCATGTGTAGGCTACAACAGTCCAAGTTCGAACTCCAAATTTGCTCTCACAGGAAAAGATGAGTAACTTCAGAGGACTGTGAAGTCATTAACAGCACGTTATAACAGATGCTCATCAGAACCAAAGTTCCTTGTCGTATTTTCGTAGTTTGTAGTTCGCAATCATGAAACTACATTGCCCAGAATTCTTGTAGATGCTCCTTGACGTTGATTGGCTGCGCAAAGACAACCCCCTCGTTAATGTTCCAGGCCAACTGCATGTCAAGTTTAAACCAGCCGCTACAAACGCAGATTATGCCCACATTTCAACATAGACATTTTTGCTTTGACGATGGCATTAAACTGCAGCACATTTAGTCGCCTTATTGTTGGAGCACAGGCCGCGGCTGAGGCCTGCACAAAGCGGGCAGTTCTCAAGACATGTGGGAGATATCGAGTGTGTCGATGGTATTCCGGAGTCACTCATGAAGAGAACAGACTGGAACAGGTGTGTGTTTCCTTACACCTTTTACACATACATTTACACCTGGCGCTGCTGCACAGGTACGAGATCATGAAACGCTTTAAAGTCAGGTGATGACAATAATTATAGGCTAATACACGTAGTTTTGAAAACTCTTGCCGAAGCATATCGAATTTTAAATGGCTAATGCTGTTTGAATGTTGTCTGTGTTCATGTAACGTGGCCTAACATGTATTTTTTTGTTTGTTTGTTTGTTGGTTGTGTTGATGTATGATTGTGGCCTGTTAAACTTTATGTATATTAAGTATTATGGATTGTTTATTGTTTATATAATGCAGAAAAAATAAATAAAAACGAGAGGCCTATATTTCTATTTTTAAACAGTAAAATTAACCATGGTTTTAACACAAATAAAACCAAAGAAACGTGGTTACTATAGTTAAACATTGGTAACCACAAGTTAACCATGGTTTTGCTACACTAACCAGTTTAACCATGGTATTTGTAGTGAAACTATGGTTATACAAATGGTACGCCAAAAAACCATGGTTACTACACTTTTACTACTATAAGACCATGGTTAATTTTTGTAAGGGATATGCTTTGAAATAAATTACGTATTAAAGTAAAGTACAATTTATATGGTTTATGAATATGGTAATCATTCTGCATACCAGTTCATTACTGTGTACAAACTAGCCCTCAAGTTTGAAAAATGTATAATTGTCATTGTATTAATGCTTTTAAAATATATATGTATTATGGTAAATCTCTAGTATATAAGTGAGGTATACACATGGTTTCATTTATGCTTCATGCTAGAGTGGGTACTGAACATAACCGATTTAAAGTGTGACAAATTATAAATGAGTCTTTCTTTACAACAGTTTGGTCATAAGACTCGCACTAAAATACCAAACCAGACAAATCAGTAATGGATGTCACGCTGTATAACATGAGAAGCCGTTGTCAAAGTCCCTTTATTCTAGTCTTTGCCATTGTGCATGTTTACTGTTAAAAGTCTCACTATCAGTGGGCTTCACACAACTTGACAATAGCCTACACACACACACACACACACACACAAAATCTGATCATTTTAATGGCCTTGTATTAATATTACTGAATGCAAACTGTTTTGTTCTGCTGATTTGTCATTACGGGTTCCATACGGTAGGGTGACCAGACGTCCCCGTTTTTGGTGTCCTGTCCAGTTTTGTGCCGCTGTTTAGTCTGTATTTCACACAGCGCGATGGTCCTGTCCCAAAGTGGAGCAGTCCCCGCAGTGTTGCCAGATTGGAAATGTCCAAGTATCGTACCAGAAGCTCAAAATTATCATATTTGGAAGAAAATTATCATACACAAGTAAAAACGTACAGAATACAGCTATTTATCTACTAGACTAGAACAACATTTTTTTTTTCCATTTTAATTTTTCTGGACTCCTTTTTAAATGGTTAAATACAATTTTATTAATCAAAAGCACGTCTAATTAAATAATGAAACGTATACAATTCAACATCAAATCTATTAAAAAGTTTAACAAAAATTACATGTTTAGGGTCTTATGAAATGTTTATTTTTTTCACCTTGTTTATTGTTACCAAATTATGTTTTAATATGTCTAATTATTTGAATGCATAAAAAATACTTTTATTTATAGCCTTATGAAATGTTTTTTTTCTTTAGAAATTCTGCGTTGTGTATTTTAATTTTTCTGCTTATCGAGTGAAGGCATAACACATTAATTTAATTTATCTTTTAATTAATGAAAATTAAACAAATGTTATTTTTTGGCAAACAAAGAGGATTTACAATTAAAATTAAAACATGGAAGAAATATTGTTATTATTCCTTAATAATTTTTGTAGTAGTAGTTGTACGTACATTCTACTGAACAATAGTAATACATTTCTGGCAGAAACTATATTTTTGACTCTGAGCAGTTCTGGAGATGTTGTTCATGTATTTATGTCCTATTTAGTGAGAAGGCAGATGCTGAATCATTCATTCAGACCATAGACTATGATTCAGACAGACACAGAACATGCTGAGCTATACTGATTACTAGTCGCGTGCCGCTACTCTAGCCATGAATAACTTGGATGAGAGCAGAGTGCTATTATCATCAATTATCAAAAGAGATGCCGTTATTGGTTTCAAGGTAGTCACATACTAACTATACATGTTAAAACAAAGTAATACTGTTTGTGTGCACTTTATAACAAGTAATGATAAAGTTGCGGGATTGTTTTGCACACAGTATTATTAAAGATTCCTGAAACTTTCACAGTCACTGATATAATATAAAAAATAATACATAAACAATTATATTTGCTCAATTACATTTGCAGAAATCACATACTTTGTGGTCAAAATTAGCCTAAAATGCAAAATAATAAGCCTGATTAGGGATAGTAAAGATCCATTTCCAAAATAAACATAAAATAACTTGGAAAAAAAATCCTTTGAAAACTTGCAAGTACTTTATACTCATAGTCTGTGAAAATGTTAAATAGTCAGAAAATGTAAAAAAAAAAAATGTTTTAATTGTTTTATTTAACAGGAAGTCATATTTATTGTTTTATTTTTAATGTGATTTTGTAAATAAGTTTGTTATAATCATATTTTG